GGGGGGGGGGGGGGGATGGAGAGACATTTTGGGGAACATTTACATGCACAAAAACCTATACAACACACTACAGGAAAAGGAAAAGCATAATACGGCCCCTTTAAGATATGTTGTTTATCACCCGACCCTAGAAAATATTGTTTTTGATATAGTATACTCCCAGATGATGTCCCCCAGCTCTTAAACACAAGCATGGTGTGTGTGTGTTTATGTGTGTGTGTCTCACCTTCTCTCTGCTGCTGTTAGCAGTGATGGACCTCTGTGTGGCTCCTCTCAGTGCTGTTCTGTAGTTGTAGAAATTGCTTGAAGGGTCCATCTGATGCTATGGAGGGAAGAAAAAAAAACAGTCAGTTTGAGATAAAGCAAAAAAACGTTTTAGAAGAGCCACTAAATGAGGAAAGGAATCAAAAAGCTCTCAATTTAACATATTAAGCAGTTTTTTATCCCGTTGAAAGTCTTGGTTTTTGGAAATCTTCAATTTAAACTGTGCTTACTCAAAGCCTTAGTGTTGTGACAGAAGCCTGTTGGAGCTTTGTGATGCAGGAGAAAGACAATGCTATGGAGTCTGTGACCTCAAACAAACTGAGGAGCACATTAACTCCCTGCACCCATTGCAGAAAATTACCACTTGGGACAGAATGTTCAGCGTTCAACTCAACTAGGACGGAAGAGGAGAGTTAAAGTAACTCATCAAAGGGGTAAAGAGATGAGGAGGTGTGTGATTGACAGAAGCAGAGAGACAGAGATGAACTCCGGTGAGACATGAGGGGAACCTAAATAACCGAGTCTTTGAAAAGAAACCCAGCCTGACTCGTCTCCGCCTCAGATCTCTTCTTTCAAAAGAACGACTGATGTCCTACTGCGCTCAGAGAGCATCCCCCCTGCTGTGTCTGTGGATTCTCCTCAGGTAGCAACACCCTCTATGCATACAAACATACATATGCATAGAGCATGGTGGAAGGAAAGGTAGACATCTGCTTTTATGAACTATTTCTAGGGTTGCCTTTGGAAAATTGAAAACTAAATAAAACTACGCCTCACAAAAAGAAAACGATTAGTCAACCGCTTAGATATGTCCCACCCCTTAGCCTATCACGTACAATATGGTTGAGCGCTAGCCAATAGGAGCGTGAGAGTTACGAGGTGATGAAGGCAGAGGAAACTCGACAGTGTTTATCAACCTATGTGAGCTCTATGTGAGTCACAGTCACATCTCTGCTCTGCTCTCCCACTCAGATCAGTTTTATTTTCCCCTCCAGCTTTAACTTTGTTCATCTGCCTTTATCATTGCACTTAACCAAACAATTGACTGACAAAAGAAGAAGCTCAACCACACACTCACACCGTGGTTAGTCATCAGTGTTGAAAACAACCAACCACGGAGTTGCTAGTATGTGTGGGCATACAGGAGAAGCGAGAATTGGAAAATTAAAACTGAAAAGAAGATGACATAAATGTTGAAAATGCAACTGCTTTTTATAGATTTTTTAAAGCAAACTTACTTCTAAGATGTCAAACTTGGCCGTTTTGATCTTACTCCATGTCTTCTTTAGCCGAGACACAGGACTCATGTTCATCCCAGCTGCAAGATAGACACAAAAAGAAAACGAAAAAGACAATGAGAGAGATATCACACATTCAAGAATACACCCTAACATGATCGCATGAACACATGTTATTTTCCCATAGAACCAGACAGACGCACATCCCCCCCTCTCCGCCCTTCCTCCCATGTCAGTCATCCTTGAACATCCCTTCACCTCCC